CAATTTAAAAAAAATTATCTGGCCCAATCAAAACCCAGTAAGCTTAAAAAAAAAAAAAAAAAAAAGGAAGAAAGAAAAAAAAGGAATTATTTATTTATTGAAAAAAGGTAATTTGACTGGTCTCCATCCTAGTAGTGTTTTTTTTGGGGTGGTCTAAAAAAAGTCTAAAAGCAAAAGCACATTGTGGAACAAATAAATAAATAAAAATAAATACATATAAACTTTGATTTAATGATTTTATATGTTTATATGAGGGGGAAGTCGTGGCCTAATGGTTAGAGAGTCGGACTTGTAAACCAAAGGTTGCGGGTTCGAGTCTCGTACCGGCAGGGATTGTAGGTGGGGGGAGTGAATGTACAGTGCTCTCTCCCACCTTCAATACCACGACTGAGGTGCCCTTGAGCAAGGCACCGAACCCCCAACTGCTCCCCGGGCGCCGCAGCAAAAAATGGCTGCTGTGTGTGTGCACACACAAATGGGGTGTGTGCCTGCTGTTCTTCGGCTGGTTCTTCCTGTATACGTTGATTGACAGATGTCTCGTCCAGTCAGCGGTGAGTAATCCCATACCTACCTCTTCCGGTTTGTCTGATTTGTCGTTGCGTTTTCTGATTTGTTAATTTGTTTTCGGATTTGTCGTTGTGTTTTCTGACTTGTTATTTTGTTTTCGAATTTGTCATTGTGTTTTCTGACTTGTTATAATGTTTTCTGAATTGTTGTTGTGCTTTCTGAATTGTTATTTTGTTTTTTAGACTTGCATTTGCGTTTGTAATTTATTTTGTTTTCAGAATAGTGATTTGTTTTGCACTTCTCGGCCACCGTAGTATCTCCAGTAAAACAATATTAACATTGCATTTTTTCATGTTTTAGCCTATATTTGGGGGCCTTTGTGTGTTATTACGATGTAGGAAATCTTTAATAAGCACTTATAAAATTAGAAAAGAAATGTTAGTTTCAACCTGATGCTTTGACGTTAAGTATGTTTATTGAGCTACTACTAAGGTCACTCAGACCCCAATATGGCAGGAACTGCAATAGTGAAAAACTAAATGATGACCAGTTGCAGCTACTAAAATATAGGCTACAGTTTCCCTAATATAATATTTAGGTGAAACGCTATAACGTTGTGTTATTAGTCGCCGTTTGTCAAGTCCTCTCAAACACAAATGGTCGAGGGTTATTGTGTTTCTGTGAGTCACAGCAGCTCACAATCTACTCACCCTCTCCACTGCCTCCACCGTGAACTCGTCTGCATCCATTCTCAATCCTCATTGACTTCCTTCTCTCCTATTCTTGTGCTCAGCAACAGTGAGTATTCGGTGGTAAGGTGTGAGGCGGTGTTTTGGAGTCCTGTCAGCTCATGACTCGTGTGTGTGTGCGCTCGCGGGGGGCAGCTCTGATGGGAGCACGTGGCTCGCACTCATAACAGCTGACGCCACACGTCATTCACTTAACACTCAAATCTCTCTGTAGCTTCACATTTGATTCAAAGGGTCTGACGCCTTTTGGCTCTCTTTATAAATAAGCTGTCGTTTAGACTATAGGTTGCGCTTAACCACACCCCGCTGTCGAAGCACAGACCCCTCGGGATATTTTTAGCTCGGATGATGTCCGCTGTCATCTAACGGAAAGATCATCCCGGAATCACAGAGCGAACCAGCACGGTGTCTGCGCTTGAGTCGCTTTATCTAACATGAGGACTCAAAGCGCTTTTATTATATGGACTGCGATGGTTCTTCATTTGTCTATCATAAAAGGTAAGCACATGGCTTATGGTTGACTTGATTTTAGCATGAAAACAGCAGCAGGATTCTATAATGTTACAGTATCTGCAGGCTTTGTCTTGCTCGCATGTTTTTTTCTGATTAATCACTAATGATTTATATGCATCTTATTTATTTGAAATGACATTGTTAAGCTTGGAACTAATTATGGGACAAAATCTATCTATCTATCTATCTGTCTGTCTGTTCTGTCTGTCTGTCTGTCTATCTATCTATCATCTGTCTGTCTGTCTGTCTATCTATAATCTATCTATCTGTCTGTCTGTCTGTCTGTCTGTCTGTCTATCTATCTATCTATCTGTCTGTCTGTCTGTCTGTCTGTCTGTCTTCTATCATCTGTCTGTCTGTCTGTCTATCTATCTATCTATCCTCTCTTCTCTTTAATGTAACAATAGGCTACTGCAAAGATTAAAATATTACTAATATTAACATATTTGGGAATAGAAACATATTTTACATATTTTATTTTTGTAACATAATGTTTGGACTCTAATTTGTATTATTTGCATCTCCCCCTTAAGTGCTCATTAGATTCTTAAAGTGAGATCTCGGTTCTCAGTGTTAATTTCATGCATAATTGGATGCGTTGGTTGATCTGACACATTGATCTGGTGCTGATGTGGGAGACATAGGTTCGAATCTGCCCTGTATACCATGTATGCATAAATAAAAAATGGCAAAAGCCCCAAATTGAATCATTTACTTATTTAAAAAAAAAAAATATTTAGTTGTTTATGCATCTAAATTTAACTGGTTTAAGTGGTTAATGGTGTAACTTTCTATTTTCTAAATCTTCAAAAACCTGCACATTTGAGGACAAAATCTCCGTGTATCTGGTTGGTTTGTTCCTCTGCTCCTTCTTGACACATAAAGGTCACACCTGCTTTGTTCTGTGGATTCACTGTGTGACCATTAAACTCAACTGTACAGATCCGGTCTAGAACGCCCACGTAACCGTTTCAGCATGAGAACACATAGCGTTCTTCCTGTAGCTTTACTCAAATCAAATAAACATATTTCATGGCATATAAATTTCTTCCCCTCCATGCTCATGTTTATTTTCTAGATTTACAAGTACAGTTGCAAATAGGAACGAGCAAGCTTGCTCATGCAGACATTTTCTACTTCTCCCCAAGGTCAGACCACAGACACATCCCCAGACGTGAGGTCCACTCTGAATGAAGTCACTCTGAAAAATCGCATGACTTCAGCAAGTGACATTTTGGAATCACGAGCCACTACAGCCTATCAAAGCGTCTCCTCTCCTTCAGTGGATTTCACAACAGAGGTCACACCTACTGTTCCTCCTCCATCACAGTCATCCAAAGACGCTGTAGTGCACAATGACACCTCTCCTTCACCAGCCATCTCACAACAGACCCCTGCACTACAAGAAGTCACCACCCTCAACACGGACACAGTCTCGGTACCAGGCAAGACTAATACAATTAAACCTAATCAAATTGCAAAAGCTATCTGTCGTTAATCAGTCTAAGGTTTAAAAACAAATTTGCCATCCTTTGTGTTGAGAACAACAACATGGACAGTGGAAGACAATGCTGCGCAAATTACGTTTACGAAGAGCTGAAAGATGCAGTAAATTTTATATTTTCACAAATTGCCAGTAAATTTCATGAATAATTACAAAAAACGGCACACATTAACAGAGAAATGCATTGAATTAAACATTAATATGTCAATGATTTTATTTAAAAGTTAGAATTTTTTTTTTACAGTGTGCTCTAGTCAGAGCTGTGGCTTTCTGGTTGGTGTCCAAGTTGGAAATTTGGGTTCGATTCTGACCTATTTCTAAATGCTTCTATAAAACTGTTTAACTTTTTTATTTTCGATTTTTTAATTTCAATTTTTTTTGCATTTGCCATCAATAAATTGTTATATATTGGCTTTATCACATTTGCCACACTGCTCTATAGATGTTCCCATTGACGTCACAAGCTGAGATGACAGTAAAGATGGTGGCGTTTCTCCATATTGTTGTAAAAGACACGATGCTTCAGGTTTCATGCACTGACATTTGCGTTTGTCTTCTAGTCTGAGTGCTTTCATGTGGGTGTACATCACTTTGTTCCACTTTAATGATAAAACACTGGGCTTAATGTGACTGATTCCAGACTGAACTCGTGAGACTCTTTGGGAAACTGCCACATTCCACCCACTTGATCAAATGTCTGTCCGTAAATAATGGCTGGATGTGGGTGTAACATTTTGGAACACGACTGTGTTTGTAAATAATATCCCTCTCTCATACTGTCATTTCACTGGAAACACAGCTATATTTAGGGCAGTTGAATATCTACTTATTGGTTTACTGCACTTATGCCAGACCTTAAGTATGACTCTTAGAAAACAACTTCAAAACACAAGTTCTTCAAAACAGCTTTTGCCCGGCATACAGTAAAACGGGTAAAAAATATACCATTGAAGGAGAGATCTATCTCAGTCAAAGCTTGTGTTTCTGTGCATGTTTTTCTCCTGCAGGTTCTTCTACTAGCAGCACGTCAATTTCTTATTTGAAGAGCACCGTTTTATATTCAGTAGCCTCCACAGCTCCTGCAACATCCATCAGTCCAAGTGAAGGACCTCAGGCACTGAGGTCTACTCCAGCCAGCAGCATGATCCAGACAACACAAACAGCTCCGCCATTCACCCCCACTTACCCTCAGACATCTCAGGTCGTCCTGACCAGCAGTTCAAAGGTAACTGGACCTGCTCCTTTGGAAGACCAGGATGAACCTTCTGAACTGGATGTGGGGGATCAAGGTGTGTGGTGTCATTCCAAACCCATTAAACATTAAACAGATATTGTTATCTTATTTTTTATTTAATGGAATCCAGGCAACCAAAAATTTCAAGTTCACAAAGATACTGTAGAAATAATCCATATGAATCATCAAGAGGTGTAATCCAAGTCTTCTTAAGAGACACAATAGGGCTGGGTGATAAACAAAATCATATCGAAATAAAATTTAAGTTGATGATGATAAGCTCTGGACATTTTTACTCAATATGGATTAATCCAACAGTCTATCACAGAGTCACTTCACCAGGTTTGCACTGTTTACTTTGAGAAAAACTACCATCAAATACACATTAAAACTGAAAGTAAAACTGAAAGACCTTCACGACAACCCATCAAAATAAAAGTCTGGTTTAATTTGAAGAAATTATGACAGAAATATATTACTTGTCACACTTCATGGACTTTTGTGTATTTTTTTCATTTTCATCCCTCGTGTTCCTTGACCTAGTTTCTGTCTCCCCTTAATTGTGTCATTATGTGCAGGTGTGTCTTGTCAATTATCCTCATTTACTCTCCCATATAAGTTGTAGTCAGTTCAGTGTTTCTTGGTCCGGTCTCGTCAACGTGTACGTGTGTCTTATGGTGCGTTCAAATCATGTCGTGAATTGAACGCACCTGACGTCGTAATTACAACTTGTCAACTCGTAAGTACGAATGTCCCAGGAGGACTTGAACGCAGCATTATGCCTTCTTGTTGTGGATTACCTTGTGTGGATAATATTAAAGACACTTACTTTCATCTTCATCTTCGTGCGAGTTCTTTCTACACAGAACTGTGACATTACTATTGTATACTAAAATATAATTCTCAAAGTAATAATAATAATGGTATTGGTACACTTTTGTTGTGCAGCATCTTGCGAGACAATAAATATTCTTTGTTGTAGATTCATTTGATTTCATTTTAAAAGAGTGATCAAATAGTTTTATTCAATTATTTCATTAAACACCATTTTATGCTAAATTTCTATTTAATCATAAAACACAGAGACCCGAAAAAAATAAAATGGAGGGGGAAAAAAAGAATTTAGGAGAAAATAAAATAAATTTCATGGGGCCCTAAATTGAAAGGTATCTTACTCTGTGGAGATTAATTGTAAACAAACAAAGTTATGTTTACATTTATTCTCAAGGTCTTAGAAACGTGCAAAGAATTTCCTTCCCCGTTAATGTTAAATTAATATAGCGATAAATAGCAATATTGTATGATATGGAACAATAATATTGTGATAATGTTTTTGCCCATATCCCCCAGCCCAACGCACATACATAGAGCACATCAAATATGGTCAACGGAAGCTCAACAACTATTTTATTTTTGGGAGAACGTTTCAGCTCACTTTAAACTAAGGCCAGAAAAATAATCTACATAAGTAGGAGAGAGAGGCATTAAATTTGAGTTGTGTCTTTGGTCTTGCCGTCGAGGTCTAGTAAGCACCTTGACCGATGATAATTTCATTATTTTTCCAACTGCACTTATTTCTGTGGTCTGTACATGATGTTCCTTCAGTTTTATTAGTTCCTGTGATAGTGATAATCAGTTTCTGCTCCATTCATCAATCTAGAGTCAGGGAAGGTTCCCCACCGCCCTGCATCACCCCTGGACCCCCTGCTCGCTGCTCTGGTCACCATTTTCATTATTTGCACTGCCATGGTCTCAGTCGTCCTCTTCCTCAGGTTCCGTCAACGGAGTGAGCATCCAGAATTCCACCGGCTTCAAGACCTCCCTATGGTGAGTCTTGCATTCGGGCAGCAAATTGGGATATTTGAAATTGAGATCTTTGAGAGTTTTATAGATTTCCATTAAAGGTTGAACAATCGATTGGTTTTGCTGATTAATCGGCACCAGTAACTGATTGCTGGAACAATACCGATAGTTTTTTAAGGTTGCATCCATTGCTGGAGCAAGTGAGAAGGTCCACTGTCATTATACAGAACAAGAGCGGCCTCTAGAGGCAGAATAAATGACGCCTTGTCGGGTTTGTTTGTTTTATATGTAGATTTAAAGTAGTGCTGTCAAAATTAGCGTTAACGAAAGCGATAAATCTTTCCAGTTTAATAGCATTAAAAATATTTTATGCAGTTAATGCAGGGGCGGAGCTAGGGTTGGCCACCCAACCCTACACAGGTTTAGGCACAGAATGTCTTTACGACCAAATCAAACTGGAGACTTTTCAGACACGCACTCCACTTCGCCTCAGCTCCAGGCACTAGTCAAACAAGCGCGGAAACGGTACAGGTGACGAGGAGTAGAACAACAGTGAACTGCGGTCAGATGAAATGTTATCAGGTATGAGGTTATACAAATATGGAGGTGCACGCTGTAGCCTGTATCATTTCATATTAAAGCGTGAATGAAACCATGAGTATGCGCATGTCAGATCCGTGTCATGTTCTGCAGTGGCAGCTCTTAAAGTAATAGCAGCCAAATGAATAATCTTAGAACCCAGCCGCTGTGATGTCTGTTAATCAAAGAAGAACTAAAGAACAAAAAGGAAATCAATAACTTTTGTAGCTTTAAGGATTCGTCTATATTTAATTTAGAATTTAGCGTTGATAACTTTATTCAGTTTCTTTATATTTCCTATTTGCTGAAGGACACAGGTAAACATTTATTGTAATGGGTTTATGTGAAGATTGTTTAAAGTTCACTTAAATTAGAAGTTATTTTTTAAAGACTAATAAATGTTGAAATTGATAAATCTCAATTATACTGTAATGTTGAATGGCTACAGTCAATGGTTAAATATTAGGAAAAAAATAAAAATTTCCTAGAGACATCAGTAGTACTGGTATCAGTGATACTCGCCTTCAGTCATAAAAAAAACATGCCACTAAAACAAATATTTAAAATATACTGTCTTTATGTTGTTTCTACATTAAATTGAAGATTGTGAAATTATTGCAATATAGAAGTATATTTAAAAACTTAAATATCTGCTAAACTAAATATCGTTAATCGTGATTCATTTCATAAAAATAATTTTTTTAATTGATTGACAGCACTAATTTAAAGCTAGTGACCTGAGAAAGCAAATTATGTTCATGCAGTCAACAGAAACAAATTTCATTTTTTATCGTCACTGTAAAACATATTTTGTTACTTTTATTAGATAATAGTATTCTGTTCTAAAAGTATTCTATTTGATATTAGATTCTATTTTTATTAGATAATAGTATTAGATAATAATATTCTATTGTAAAAGTGTTCTAAAATAGACGCAAATAAAGTGGGAGAGTATACATTTAATATACATATGTATCTAATTTCAATGTAATGGACTTTGTGTAGATATTTATTTTTATATGAAATGGTAACAATAGAGTCAATTTGCAATAAGAGTCAATTTGTAACATTAACTAAGGATAATAAATGCTGAAGAAGTATTGTTCATTTTTAGATTGCTAATTTCATTTACTAACAATAATCATTTACTAATAAATTTTAATATTTTTCAATACTGTTTTTTTAAATAATTTTTACAATTATTTTTTGTAATAAACTATTAGTAAATTAATCAGTTATCGGCCAATGTGGTCCAGCCTAGTTATCGTTATTGGTAAAATCCACTATTGCTCAATCACTAATCACTTTACATGATAATGTTAATTATGTCATGTTTTGCAAATGTGATGGCATGTTCTGCAAACCAACACTGATAATGATAAAATTCAAAATGACCTCAAAAATAAAACCCTGATGTGCTTTTCTGCAGGATGATCTCCTTGAAGACACGCCATTGTCAAGATACACCTATTAGCAAGAGTGAATTCCACTATTTCATTATCTGATTCCTCAGGCAACCAGTGTTGTTATTGGTGCAAATCCCCTGAAAGATGTCTTTCACAACTGATCTCTGATTCTGGGTTTTTCTGGGCTTTGATGCTAAAATGTGGTTGTGTAATATTGGAATAGAAAATTTAGTTATTTTCCTATATTATGAAACCCATTAAAATAAAATAAGGGTTCCAGAAAATAGAATACAATAAGATAATCAGTCTTGTTCTATGTTAAAAACTTCACAGTTTCTTAATAAACAGGTGTTTAGTCAGAAGAGAATGTTCGAATTTCAAGAAAACAGAACATCTCGGTTACGTATGGTAACCCTCGTTCCCTGAAGGAGGGAATGGAGACGTGACGTCGAGAGTGACCGACTGAAAGGGAACCAATATACTTTTTATTCACCTTAAGATTCTCTACAAATGTAGAGAAACTATAACAAACATTTTCTCTACAAACATGACATTAGAAACAATTCACATTTTAGTAACTTAGAGAGTTTGCTGGAGATAATTAGCTTGTTTTACCCTTTATTAGACACTATATTTATACTTAAAAGGTTAGTTCACCCAAAAATGAAAATTAGCCCATAAATTACTCACCCTCAAGTCATCCTAGGTGTATATGACTTTCTTCTTTCAGACGAATCCAGTCGGAGTTATATTAAAAATGGTCTTTGATCTTTTAAGCTGTTTAATGCCACTCAGCGGGTGTTGCATGCATCAGTCCAAAAGAAGTTAAATAAAATGCGCCCATCCATAAAAAAACCTCATTCGTCATCCGCCCGGACCTGCTTCCAGTGTACAACAGTGAGCGCAAGCTACATTAAAGTGATTATTACGTTTCTGAATATGGATATTTTTCTTACAAAAACGCATCGATTCGCTACAGGAGGCCTTTGTTCACCCCCCGGAGCCGTGTGAGACACTTTTTTTTATGGATGGGCGCATATTAATTAAGTGCTTTTGGACTGATGCATGCAACACCCACTGAGTGGCATTAAACAGCTTGAAAGATCAAAGACAACTTTTAATATAACTCCGACTGGATTCGTCTGAAAGAAGAAAGTCATATACACCTAGGATGACTTGAGGGTGAGTAATTTATGGGCTAATTTTCATTTTTGGGTGAAATAACCCTTTAAGTAATTGCTCAATATTATGATGCTATCATTTGGTTCATCCTAAACCTAAACTCTGAGGTATGGTCACATTTACCGTTGTTTGGCAAATTTTCACAGGCAAAATCCAGTCCTTTCAAAAGGAGGTAAAGGTCAAAAGATATTGCTCAGATATTGCTATTTCACAGTTCAAGTTGTTCACACAAATGCACAGCTTTGACCAAAATCACTACGCTATTGACAGTTCAGACAACAGACCTTTTTTGTCCACAAAATTTTGCTAATATGACCGCACCTTAACTTTTATATAAGGTTTTATTCTAAAGGTCTAACATTTCTTGAATCTATACAAGCAAATAGTACTGCACCTTTTTTTTCTTTTTCTTTTTAGGGGCTTCAGCTTATTTTCCAAGAGAGTTTTTGGAAAAACAGTTCCCTGGGTTTAGCATAAATGTCTCTGGACTTTTGCACTGTTAGAGCTATGAAGTTGTAGTAAGGAAAATGTTCGTTTTTATGTGACTGTTCTAGAATGAGAACAAATTTGGATTAAACTTAATTGTGATTTTGATATTTATGACATTTAAGTTGATTGTCCAGATCGATAATGAAGGTGTGTGAAATAATTTGAAATGTATTTTAGCATATTCACTTCTGTCTACGCTGGTATTTGTGGTAAACCTAGTGCCTAATGTACTTTGTGCCAAAACTGATTAGCGGTAAACAAACTGATAAATATATATTGCACAGTTGTGTTGTTGAGATGAACCTGTAAAAATAAGAGTTTGTAATAAAATAAGAAAACAATTTTTTTGTGTGTGTAAAGCTTCATGCTATATCACATTTACACGAGTTTAATGGTGAAACTGGTGAAATGAGATAGTCAATACAAATATGAATTATATACAATTTTTATTTGTTTCTTATGAACACTTTAAAAATAAACAGGCCAATATAAACTTTATTGATTAAAACTAGCAACAATGCAGATTTCATATGTGCTGTATGTAAAAATTTGATAAATGTTAAGAAATAAATATTAAGTGTGGAACAGTAAAACCTAATTATGTTAACAGAACAATTTACTATTATAGTAAAAACAGAAATACTGTAATAAACATGGTATCATTAGAATAATATAGAAAACACTGCATAAAATATTCTTAAGTTAATTCTTAAAGAGACAAAACTTTTTTTCATAGAGTACAAAATATCACAATAATAAAATAACAATGACAAACGTGTTAAACCATCAGTAACGTTACCACAACTAAAAATGTTTCAGTTGTTTAAAAATTCATAAACCAGAACACTGATATAATAAGCCATGTGAATAAATACCCTCATACCAGTTTTGTCCAGAAACAATGGCAAGTCCTCATCAGTCCTCATCGATCTACAGCTGTGAAATGATTATGTCACCATACGGCTCGTCCTGTCGCACTGTGACCTGTCCTGCGACTATTTCCTCTGTAAACACAAGACGAGACAAGACAAGACAGCATATCTGTCCGGGTGATTGCACTTTTCAATAAATTAAGCATTGGGGAGAATTTAAATGCCTTTGTTTTGTTAATTGTGGTGCTTAATCTCACACCATTTTTGGCAGCTAGCAGGTGAGGAGGCTCATGGGTAGACAGATCGCAGCTGAAGTGGGACGGGGTGGCATATGTCACCTACAGTATACCTGACCAGTATAATTCTTTCTCCCTTTAAGTCTTTGTATGTTTCAGTTGAAAATAAATTTGATTTCGGTAGGTCATGCCTCTGAGAACAGTCCCAGTGCTCCCAATTCTTTTCAGCAAAATTTCAATTCCATAATTTCTTTTCATTGATTTTGTCGGGCATTATAGAATGGTAAATCTTCTGCCATAATCTTACCTAGCAATCTCAAAAACATTTGGGCAACAATTCTGCGGCTGGCCTGAGGGGGCAGCAGAGAGTGAAAGGTCACCAAACCTTCAATAGCATCCCGTGGCCTTCAACAGAAGAAAAAAATGCATTAGATATTACATCTGTCTATAGTCACATGCCACTGAAATGGACAAAGCAAAAAATATAAAATACTAAAAAAACTATTATTAGGGTCCTATGATTTCCACGATGCTGGAAAAAAGATCTGATGTAAGATATTTTGAGAAAAAACTACTGTCATATCATATACACACAGAAACTTAAAGGTCTTCACAGGAACCTATCAAAATAAAAATTTGGTTTAACTTGAAGAAATTGTGACATAAATATATTACTATTTTACAGACATATTGAACGTTTGCCATAATGTAATAATACTACTACCACTAATAAAATTATTATTATTACATTATTAGGAATAATTACACAATTGTTTCTTCCATATTTTAATTTTAAAAGTAAACCTCTGCTGTGCAGCACTTTGTATGTCAAAAATTTAAAGGGTTTGTTCAATTATTGTTTGATTAAAAAATTAATTCATGTTTTATGTCTTCATTTGATTACCATAAAAATTCAAATGCACAACACAATGCACAGAAATTCTGAAAAAATGCGCTATTATTGTAAATAAATAAATAAATCTTTATTTGATCCTCTAACTCTAGCATTCTCTATTCTAATTCTATTCTTTAAAAAAACTTGCCCCTTTTAGACTTGCACTCTATTCATTTTCTTCAAAAATAAAAAAAACGAACACTAGCTTCTATATTCTTTTTGTATTCCATATATTTGATTTCTTTGTTCAATTATTGTTTGATTAAAAAATTAATTCATGTTTTATGTCTTCATTTGATTACCATAAAAATTCAAATGCACAACACAATGCACAGAAATTCTGAAAAAATGCGCTATTATTGTAAATAAATAAATAAATCTTTATTTGATCCTCTAACTCTAGCATTCTCTATTCTAATTCTATTCTTTAAAAAAACTTGCCCCTTTTAGACTTGCACTCTATTCATTTTCTTAAAAAATAAAAAAAAACTAACACTAGCTTCTATATTCTTTTTGTATTCCATATATTTGATTTCTTTTTATTTATTATACAATTAACAAAAAGCAAAAAAGAGGCCTCTAACACTAGCTTGCTCTATTCTTTTTCTATTCTGTCTGTTTTCTTTTTATTTATTATATACTTAAAAAAAACTTGCTACGTGTACTGCGTTAGGCTAACTGTGACTCGTCATAGCACTTGCGTATCATTGCTCTTTTGTTGATTTCGATTGCTTCCATTGTCCTCGTTTGTAAGTCACTTTGGAAAAAAGAGACTGCTAAATGACTAAATGTAGGCTAAATGTAAATGTAAATCGTTAAGTTGTTTTTAAATAATCAATTCAAATGGAATCCAGAAAGATTCAAATGAAAAACACAGAATTTGGTAAAAATAGAACAGAATTGTAGAAAATATAAATGTGACCCTGGACCACAAAACCAGTCATAAGTAGCACGGGTATATTTGTAGCAATAGCCAACAATACATCGTATGGGTCAAAATTAGGATATTAAGTAAAGATCGTGTTCCATGAAGATATTTTGTAAATTTCCTACTGTAAATATATTAAAACTATATATTAAGTACTGCATTTGGACAACTTTTAAGCCGATTTTCTCAATATTTAGATTTTTTTGCACCCTCACATTCCAGATTTTCAAATAGTTGTATCTCGGCCAGCTTATTGATTCAGCTGGATATGGAGTTGGATAATGAAAATGTCTTATGTAGAGCTGCTCTATTCCTGAATCACAATTGTTTCATTACTGATGAACTCTACAACATTGATACTGTTATTGAACTGAACTGAATCAACACTGAACTGACTCGAGTTGACTAACAACACAATTGCCTTCTGTAGAGCGGCTTCGTAGTTAAACTGAGTTCGCTTCATAACTAATGAACTATGCAACAGTGACACTCTTACTGAACTGAATTAAATCAAACTGAGCTGAATAATGACACTATTGTCTTTTTAAAGCTGATTTACAGCTGAAAGTTTATTTAACTTTCCAACATAAATACAGTTATTTTCCTGTTTATTACTGTGAAGCTGCTTTGAAAACATCTGTATTGTATAAAGCAGAATACATATAAATGTGACTGGACCTGACTATAGTAATATAAATATGAATAGCCTTTCAATAAATAACAAAAAATGCAAATACTCATATTAACA